GTCAAAGGCCTAATTTGCAGTCTGTAGATACTGTACTACATGATTATCTTTTGTATTTAATTTGCTATCTGTCACTAAAGAGAGCATCTACCCTAAAATTTATCTTGGCTATTTACAGACAGATCTTTCTGAAACTTGGTACACTTGTGTAAAATAGAAGAAAAAGCTTTTTGTTCATGTGAATTTTTTGAAATAAATAAAAGAAAACATGAAATTTTAAGAAAATGGCCAAAAAAGGGGTGCCATAGAAATCTATCTCCTCCTAGGATTTTCAAGCTATGACATCGAGACACATATCATTCGATGCATGAGGATCATATCTACAAAACAGTGTAGGCATTTTTTGAAATTCTAATTTTTGTGGGTGGGGGGGGGCCAATTTTGTAAATTTTTTAATTTTTTCATTTTTCCCCATTTTTTACTAAATAAAATCCAAACTATAACAAAATTAGAAAAAAATATAACTCAGTACTCACTGCAGTGAGTGACAGAGAGCGCATTTTCTCGTTGACAAAAACTTGAGGGCACAGACAGACGAACGGACGGACATGGCAAGCACAATAGTGCATTTTTTCCATAAATGAGAATATGTGCTAAAAAGGCCTACACAACTTTGTAGATCTTTTATTTGCAAATTGAATGATATATGTCTCATTGTTGTAGCTTCAAAACTCTAGGAGGAGATAGGTTTGCAGTGACAATAAGTTAACTTTTCAGGAGAGCCCAACAAAGTCGCACACGCCTCAAAATAGACATTCAAGAGTGCAAGGTTGCAAGACTAGACAATACTGGAGCTCAATTTCTGTCAAGGATGGTGCAAACGCAGGCATGAGAACTATCCCATACAACTGCAGGCAGATAACTGAAGCACAGCATGTTCAGCCTAGCTATTTAGGTGGACTGCTGGTAATTTCAGCCTATCTTAAATGTTAAAGAACTCCACCTCCCCTAACCCTTTCGTGATATGCCGTGAACACATAAATCAACGTACAGAGATGGTTTTGGTACCTTTGGTTAGGTCAGAATGTCAGCTTTAAGATGAGACTAAAAACCGGAAAAGCCAAAATCAAAAATTTTAGGGTAGATGCTCCCCTTAGATAAAGTACAGATAATGCAATAGTAACTATCATCAAACAGGTTAATAAGGGATGGGTGGGGTAAATCAGGACAGTCCTCCCACATTTCGTAGAAATGTTGTAGCAGCTAAACTAATCAAAATACTGCAAAACTAAAAATAGTGGCATAAAGTTCAACATTTTTACTATCTATGTAGCATAAAACAAGTTGAGCAATCATACATTTACTACCTCTGAAAATCCCTGAAAAAAGTGTGAAAAGTGAGATTTTGAAAAAGTATCTCTGCTAAGGTCTGTTGCAAAAAAATATTTGCCATATTGAAAAATTTTACTTCCATAAAAGTATCACACATGTGTTGGCTTACAAACTTGATTGATAGAATTTGTGTGTCTCATTCCGAAAAAAATGGTGGCCATTTTGGCACGACGGGATAACAAAGGACACTCGCCCCGGGGTAATAAGAGCTAGACACCTCTAAAAACACATTTACAGTAGAACCTCAGCAAAGGCTCCAGTTACCCAAAAAATCAATTACCAACATAAAAATTTTAATGCATTTACCTTGCTCAGAGAAAAAAATTTCATTCAACAAAAAATTAATGCATCATCAGTCATCACAAAATTGTGCATAGAATGTCTGGATAGAATTTTGCACAGGACAAGATAGAGTGAAAAGTAAATAACCTAAACTATGATTTATTTTTCCAATAAATAAGATGGTTGCCACTAAAATATTCCTTCCTGTTTCAGGTATGTTTTTACAATCTTCTTTGCTATAGTGAATTCACTTGACCCAATTAAAATGGTGTGAAAGCACAAGCCATCCTGTAAGCTTACAGATACAGAAGAAATGCTATATGGCTGCTGAGATGAAGCTTGCAGTGGACAAGATTGATGTCAGTGCTCAATGGCATGTCCGTGGACACAGTAATATCTCATCAATAATACGATGATGTGTGGATATGGTAATATCATATCAATAAAGGAAAACAAGAAAAAATCACAGAAAATATCACAGAAAATATCATTTATTCCACACCTACATCATCTGCAAAGGAAGAGGAAGACTTCATAGTACTGTTAGTAATGGATGAGTACACTTTGCATGCTTCAAATGTTTTAAAATTGAGTTTTATTGCACGTGTCCCAAATTACCCTGGTCCCAGGAGTAATTTGGGATACTTTTATTTTGCATCTATAATTTTACGAATAGCATATGGAATTTTTTGGAGATGTCATTCGATAGCTCTCACAAAGAGCTTTAAAATGAGCCTAAATTTGTTTTTAAAATGTTTCATGGTAAGAAGTTACTAACAAAAAAACACTCAAAACTGTCCCTTATTTAGAGCCCAACAAAGTTGCACATGCCTCGAAATAGACATTCAAGAGTGCAAGGTTGCAAGACTAGACAATACTGGAGCTCAATTTCTGTCAAGGATGGTGCAAACACAGGCACGAGAACTATCCCACACAACTGCAGGCAGATAACTGAAGTACAGCATGTTCAGACTAGCTATTTAGGTGGACTGCTGGTAATTTCAGCCTATCTTATATGTTAAAGAACTCTACCTCCCCTAACCCTTTTGTGATGTCGTGAACACATAAATCAACATACAGAGATGGTTTTGGTACCTTTGGATAGGTCAGAATGTCAGCTTTAAGATGAGACTAAAAACCAGAAAAGCCAAAATCCAAAATTTTAGGGTAAATGCTCCCCTTAGATAAAGTACAGATAATGCAATAGTAACTACCGTCAAACAGGTTAATAAGGGATGGGGGGGGTAAATCAGGACAGTCCTCCCACAATTCGTAGAAATGTTGTACCAGCTAAACTAATCAAAATACTGCAAAACTAAAAATAGTGGCATAAAGTTCAACATTTTTACTATCTATGTAGCATAAAACAAATTGAGGAATCATACATTTACTACCTCTCAGAATCCCTGAAAAAAGTGTGAAAAGTGAGATTTTGAAAAAGTATCTCTGCTAAGGTCTGTTGCAAAAAAATATTCGCCATATTGAAAAATTTTACTTCCATAAAAGTGTCACACATGTGTTGGCTTACAAACTTGATTGACAGAATTTGTGTGTCTCATTCCGAAAAAATGGCGACCATTTCAGCACGACGGGATAATAAAGGACACTCGCCCCGGGGTAATAAGAGGGGTAATACACTCGCCCACCCCTAAAAACACATTTACAGTAGAACCTCAGTTAGCCAAGGCTCCAGTTACCCAAAAAATCAATTACCAACAAAAAATTTTAATGCATTACCTTGCTCAGAGAAAAAAATTTCACTCAACAAAAAATTAATGCATCATCAGTCATCACAAAATTGTGCATAGAATGTCTGGATAGAATTTTGCATGGGACAAGATAGAGTGAAAAATAAATAACCTAAACTATGATTTATTTTTCCGAAAAATAAGATGGTTGTCACTTAAATATTCCTTCTTGTTTCAGGTATGTTTTTACAATCTTTTTTGCTATAGTGAATTCACTTGACCTGATTAAAATGGTGTGAAAGCACAAGCCATCCTGTAAGCATACAGATACAGAAGAAATGCTATATGGCTGCTGAGATGAAGCTTGCAGTGGACAAGATTGTTGTCAGTGCTCAATGGCATGTCCGTGGATACAGTAATATCTCATCAAAATACAATGATGTGTGGATATGGTAATATCATATCACTAAAGGAAAACAAGAAAAAATCACAGAAAATGTCATTTATTCCACATCTACATCATCTGCAAAGGAAGAGGAAGACTTCATAGTACTGTTAGTAATGGATGAGTAGTGTGCATGCTTCAAATGTTTTAAAATTGAGTTTTATTGCACGTGTCCCAAATTACCCTGTTCCCAGGAGTAATTTGGGATGCTTTTATTTTGCATCTATAATTTTACGAATAGCATATGGAATTTTTTTAGAGATGTCATTCGATAGCCCTCACAAAGAGCTTTAAAATGAGCCTAAATTTGTTTTTAAAATGTTTCATGGTAAGAAGTTACTAACAAAAAAACACTCAAAACTGTCCCTTATTGCCCCATTTGACAGTAGTATTATTTGTGCAGTGAGATTTTTAAAGCTATTGCTTTACTATTGTTAACATAACAAAATGAATTTTTTAAGAGTAGCAGGGAATTGCAGGTGAGAAATATATGACATGCACTAAGCAGCACTACAGCATGCACTAATAATAATTAAATGCAACTGCATTGTGTGCCAGTATGAAATAACCTTAATGAAAATTTAAGGGAAGAGAGGAATGAGCTCAAAGAATTGCATTTTTGCTGGCAATGATCCCTCCACTCCATTGAGGTTAGGTATTTTACCACCAACTAACTCCTGACTCAATTGTGATCACAATTGATGGAAAAAGGTTTATTTAACTAACTGGTTTAAACCCTTAGTAAAATATCAGGATTCTAAGTACCTGCATATTAAACATGTATAAATATATGAATTCACCTATTAAATTTTCAATTCCACTCTAATCTCCACTGGAAGTGAAAGTAAAAAATATATGAGTTTTTCAAGATTCTTTATGAGTAGAAAAATTCCATGTGGGTGTCCTATAATTACCAATAAAAGAGTTTTTACACAAGTTTGGTGACCTGAACTATTGTGTTCTTTGCAATGTTTGAACTGCTGAGGCATGTGTTTTTGTTTATTTGTCAAAAACGCTGAAATTTTATTTATCATGCATTTTTTCCAGATTCATCTAACCTGACTATGCTGATGAAATTCAATGTTTCAATCCAGTCATCATAGTTCTTAGTTACTTAAACTTTATTTCTATTTTTAATGTTACCTTAAATTTTATCTCCTGCAAATTTTTGCAACACCATGCAAATCATTTGTCTGATTCTCTGAAGGAAATTCATTGCGACAGTTGTTGAAATTATATAAAGTATTATCAAGATGCCATCCACACAGCTTTTTGCTGTTAATAACAGTGGACGAGTCTTCACTTTACTGACTGATGGCAAGAAATGGCAAGAACTTGAGTACTTGGGCATTGAGTTCAAGAAAGTCAGTGCTCATGAGTTGGTTGTGTGGGCCCTAGGTGGTGATCATCAAATTTACGTCTATGTGTATGGCACTACTGTTCCCATCCGTGTCTCTGAAGAAGCATATGAAAATCAGGTAGGCTCTTTTGATTTTTTCATTTTGATATGATTTTACTAGTTTTAAAAATTGCATCAATGTTTTTTTACAAGGTGAAAGCTACATTAGGTGTATTGTTAATTATTGTCTTCATTCATTATTTGTTAGAGATTATGAGCTAAATTGTCACAGCTGCAAATTGTTGTCTAAACTGAGCATTACCAGTAATGCTCCAGCGAGACTTACAACTCCCAGTCTTGAATCTTAATTGCTTTCTTAGCAGTAAACAATTTCCCCATTGCTTTGCTCAAAATTACCAGCTTAAAAAGAACAGTATCAGATTTGATAGATAATTTAGCCTTGAACTCTGATATTTGTTTATTCCACTAACAGATGTAAGACATCTGGATGGTTTGATGAATTTTCTTAGACAATTTTGATTCGTTTTTACTATTGCTATTTATGTGCTACTTATGATTACTATATTGTTCAATTTTAACAGTTCACCTTCTGCACTACAGCTAAGTGTTAGAATGTAAACACTTCTTTCCAATGATATCTGATTTGATTGGAATTGAAACAGTTTATTAATAGATAATTTTTCAATTTATCAATCTCTTACTTAAAGTCAATCCAATCAACTATAGTTGTGTAAAAGTTTGACCATTCACATATTCAAAGTTAATGATGTGTTAGCATCAAGTTCAAGAAAATGCCCACTTAGAGTTTATGGTGGGTTTTGAATTATTTTTGACCCTGATGCAGAGATGGCGACCAAGTGATGGGTTTTCCCACCACTTACTTCCCACTGACCGCCCGGCCTTCTCATCCGAGGATGGTCTGACTGAGCGCTCTCTAGCTGCCATCCACCTACCCACTCTTGCATGGCAGTGGGAGGGGCCCTGGACCATACACACTACATTCAATGGGCAACAGCTTCCTCCTGAGGTTTAATATTACATTACATTAATATACATCTGTCCTGTTATGTACCGTACCTATATGTTAATAATCTCTAGTTGAAAGCTTCATCCCAAAAATTTGAAATTAATTATACTGGTAGTATTAATTCTAATTTTTATGTCTCAATTTGAAAGAGTAATTTCAATTTGTTTTGTGACAGTCATGTTGATTTCAAAGTTGCTTTATTTAGGTTTCTCTCCATAATTGAATTTTCATCATAATTAATGCTTGTGTCACTATGGGCATAATACCTATAAAATTATTCAACATTGTCATCACATTAACAAATTAGTGTGACCTGCACATTTGAATCAATTTTATCTCTAGTTAGTTTGCATAAAAGATGGACATGGACCTGTACATTTGAACCAGAATTTTATCTTTGACTTGTGTGTACCAGGGCTGGACGTATGCCTTGGACTTCCCTCGCTCATACAGTGCCAGTAGCTGCTGGAACTCGTGTGTGAGGCGGCGGCGGTGGGTACGATACCGTCGCTATATTGCACTCGACACTTGGTCTGCTGTGCCGTCCATACACCAAGACCACACTAAAGTCAGTCTCATTCATTTCTGTCTCTCTTTTCAGCATGAATGGAAAGGTTGTTAAAAATGTTTTTTTTTGCATTTTTCTTCATTTTATTTTGCTATTTATTGTAGGGAAGTACCTACTCTAATTATTTTATTATCTTTTAGATTGAGAAATTAATTGTTGAATGCATTTTAATCATCATACCGGTAGTAAACTTACATTGTACTTTCCTTTTTGTTATTGGGAAATACTTTAATTACCGTATCATTTATTGTTACCTATTGTTTTCAGGATTAAAAAATTTACTATTGTGACAGTCTTGTTCTTTCTACATAGTTTTTTTTTTTTGTAGTCATTTAATTTCTTTTCAGCATCAGGACAACACTATTGTCAATCTCATTTATTGTTAGGTCTTTTTAGACTGATTGAGAAATTAATCAAGCAAGAAGACAATTGGAGTTTTGTTATTGGTTTTTATTGTTATGTGAAAATAGTTTTTTTATTCTCTTTAGAGAAGCAGTTCTACACCTTAAATCAACCTCATTTATGCTTGTTTCTTGTTTAGCTTCAGAAAGAAAAGTCAGAGCAATTTTTGAAGACTCTCAAAATCCTTGATTTTTGGGCTTATTTTATAAAAAATTTTCTATATATGGGACTGATATTCAATTCATGTGAAATACCTGCAACTGCAATTGACTTTCCAGATAAAACTTAGTTTTTCTTGAACATCCACTTTTGTTGCAGGGATTGAGTATGTTTTTGTAGCTGAGATGTAAATGTTCTTCATAATAACTAAAGAAATTGAGAAATACTTCTTTAATGAGGCATATGAAATTAATTAATATTAATCAATTATTCATTATTATCATATTAATCATTAGTAATTATGTTAATTTTTTGTCAATACTAAAAATTATATTAATGCGGTTTGCCTATATTCAGGAACCCTTCATAGACATCAGTGTTGGAGGTGGTGAGGTGCCAGGAGCTGACCTGGACGCTCTCATGGTGTGGGGTGTCACTGCTCTCGGCAAGGTTTATTACGGTTTTATTTACAACCGTAAAATGGGGTAACTTAGACCGGCGGGGTAACTTAGACCACTTTTCGTTTTTTTAACAAAAACCCCCACAACTCAAAAACTATTTGACATAGAAAAATTTTGTCAATGGGTATTAAAGGCCTGGACGCAGCGGGGCCGTGTGGGCCGTGGCGTGGGACGGCAGTCTGCTCGTCAGGACGGGACTCTCCAGAGACCATCCCAGAGGTCCCGTATAATTACTTACCATTGCTATGAAATAAATTTTCATTTAATTGTTCATCAGTGTGTTGTCAATATATATCCTCTAATAATTAGTGTGTTGTCAATATATATCCTCTACCTGATATTTATGATATTCTGATTTGCAATTCCGCTACATTAGCCTTCTTGCAACCGTTTTTTTTTTCATTTTTGTTTGCAATGTAAAACTAGAGTTGACAGATGTGACTCGAGAAAAATTATCATTTGCAATAAAAATGAGTAACCTTGAGTGTTTTGCCTAATCTTTGACATATCCCACCTCATAATCCACTCTTGCCTATGAACTCAGTTTTGCTTGCAGCTGAACCGCCTTTAGCAATAGATTCTTTTAACCCTGTTACTTTCATCAAAATTCAACCTACTGAAGCTCAATTAGTGATTTTCACACATCAATTAAATTTTAGTTCTGACACTGAAATGCTCTGGACAAATTGGTGTGCAAAAACACACCTGAACTTGGGTATAGCCAAAAAGTCAAAATTAAATTTTTATTGAATTCTATTCTCAAAATTTGAACCATAAACGAATTTTTATCAATAAAATTGCAGTGAATAAGCGATAACAAAAATATCTGTTTTAGTTACAATGCGTGGGACGGCAGTCTGCTCGTCAGGACGGGACTCTCCAGAGACCATCCCAGAGGTCCCGTATAATTTCTTATTATTGCTGTGTCATGAATTTTGATTAAATTAGAGCAAACTCTGTTTTAGGCTGTTTGCTTTTAACAAGTTGAAAGCTCTATTTGATCTTTTGGATTGTTTCTTCCTCGAATTTAATCGTATCAGTAAAGAAAAAGAAAAAAAAGCTCTGCGATAATGATTGTCGCCAGCTTTCCTTCTGTTGACCTTGAGCGGTCAGTGTGGTGTGTGCAGTTTGCTTTTCTTTCAATCGCTGATACGCACTAGCCCCAGCTGGTTGGCGCCAGCTGCTCTGGTGACTGCTTTGCATCACCATCTTCTCCGTGTATCACCAAGTGCAACAGCAGACGACTCCTCCTGGACGCACACAGGATCCCCAGTCACCTGAACGTCTGCGCGGACGCCCTCAGCTGGAAGGACCCACGCCCGGCGGAGTGGGGCCTTCCGCAGGAGACCTTTCAAATGATCACGGGCTGGCACGGACCACTACAAGTCGACCTCATGGCCAGTCCACACAACAACAAACTACCCCTGTACGTGTCCGCCTTCTAGTTCCTACCCGGGGGCAGTGGCAACGGATGTCCTAGCAGTCAACTGGAATCAGTGGCAGGGGGTGTACATCTTCCCCCCACCAAACTTCATACCGCAGTTGCTACCCAAACTGCAGGACTACAAACATCACGGGGTCATTCTATCGCCACACAGACCATCAGCCGGATGGTACCCAGTCCTCCTCAAGAGCTGTCTCTTATACACATCTAGATGTGTATAAGAGACAGAAGATGTATTTATTAGTAAACTACTGGCATCTTGTACTTAAACATTGCCTTTCTTGTCTTTACTCTGTCTCTTATACACATCTAGATGTGTATAAGAGACAGCGTATATCCTCTACCTTATATTTATGATATTCTTATTTGCACGTATGCAACATTAGCCGTCTTGCAATCGTTTTTTTTTTTTTTCTGCTTGCAATCTAAAACAAGAGTTGTCAGACGTGATTTTTGACATATCCTTATATGCCATATTATCGTATATGCCTTTGACATATTCTTCTTATAAATGAGTACAATTGAGTGTTTTGCCTAGTCTTTGACATGTCCCACCTCATAATCCACTCATGCCTGTGAACTCAGTTTTGCTTAGGGCTGAAAATCCTTTAGCAATAGATTCTTTTAACCCTTTACTTTCTTTGAAATTCAATCTACTGAAGCTCAAGTTGTAATTTTCACTCATCAAATAAATTTTAGTCCTGGCACTTAAATGTTCTGGACTTATTGGTATGCGAAAACACACCTGAACTTGGGTATAGCCAAAAAGTCAAAATTAAATTATTCTTGAATTCTATTCTCAAAATTTGAACCATAAACCAATTTCTATCAATAAAATTGAAGTGAATAAGCGATAACAAAACAAATCTGTTTTAGTTTCAATTGATTTGGTTATTTAGATGCCTTCTAATTCGGCTGATAAAAAAATTCAAGATCAAATTAATATATCGAATCAAGAGGACTTGGGAAGATAAAGTTGGTAAGATGTAAAAAAAAAATATTTTTTCTATGGCGATGTCACAAAGACTTCTTTGAAATAAAAAAATTTCATGCCTAAAGCTCTACGTTGAAAAACATTTTTTTTTTCAACCAAATTTTGAATCGCGATGTTCTGAAGAACGTTTCAGCAATGCAGAGATAAAAAAAATCTTGCTTTCATTGCCTCGTGTAAATTTTTATTTCACACAATACAATGTTTACAGGCACGGCTTGGGTGACTGTGGAAAGCCCTAGCGGCTGTCCTCTTCAGAGCGTGGCGGTGGGCGTGCGTGCTGTGTGGGGGTGTGGTCGAGACCACAGCGTGTGGTTCAGAAGGGATGTGGCTAGCCCACAATATGGACCCACAGGATCGTCCTGGCTTGACATGGCCGGTCAACGACTGCTCGATATCAGCGTGGGCCCTGAAGATCAGGTACTGTGACGAATTTTGTGTGCCAGCTAGAAGAGTCAAATCTGTGGAATTGGATTAAATCGAAATCAATCAATAGAAGATCAAATTACGTTACTTTTGAATTTTTGGTTAACTTGCGATTCAAGTAAACCATTATTGTATGTACTTATTTCTTTTATTAACGATCTGGTTAGGCTTGAGATAAGCTTAGGCTGTATCATGCGCTGGATGGTGTTGAAGTAGGCATGCAAGTGTAAGATAATTCTGTACAGTTTTTGGTCTATATTTATAAATCCTATTTCAAGACGGCAAAAATTAATGATCTTGCTCATGTTTCACAATTTACCTTAACCTCTCATGTCTGAAAGATATAGAAAAATAGTACCTACGTAACTCGTTAGTAACTGATGTCATGTTATGCAATGAGCATTGGTTTGTGAATGGTTTTGTGTTCAGGTGTGGGGCGTGACGAGTGGGGAGTACAACGTGGTGGGTCGGTATGGTGTGGTGCCCTCAGAACTCACCGGTCAGACCTGGCGTGTTGTAGACCTGCCCGTCGTGGTGTACGATGCTGATGCCTCCCGTCACCACCCGCAGGATGACAGCAGCGAGGAGTCTGAAACACCTGTTGACATGACGCCGCTTGGTAAATGCTATTTATTGCCTTTGTTAATCTTAAGGCAATGCTTCATAAATTCGGCAACAGCTTTGTGAGCTCTATGACTTCCTCTGAAAATTTTTTGATGTCAGGAACTAATGAGTCTTCAACCCTGTTTGTTACTTTAGTTACTTTATCTTGCCTCCACCTTGCATATTGAAATTCCATTTTCTATTTCATGAGTTAACGATGAATTGATAACTAATCTCTCGTTACAGCATGCTGCATTGAAGGCCAAGATGAAAGCAATAGTCTAGACAGTCTTCACCGCACCATGACAGCTGAGCTGTGTGAGCGCTGGGAACCTCAAGAAGAAGCCACTGAAGGATACCAGGAGGCCGGCGACATGGACGAGATGGCGTCTAGTGTTGCGTTGGTCTCTTTATCCTCATCGAATATTGTCAAGAGTGACGCAACATTGCCTGCTTCTGAAAAGAACAACGTTTTAAATTCAAGTGATGTCGTTGCTTCTTCTGCAGACGCGGTTTCTGATGAAATATTCGAGAGCGCATCTGATGGCAGCGGTAGTGATGATCCCGAAGATGATGTTTACCTGTCGACTAAAGATCTGCTTGACGGTGCGTGTGCTTCAAAGTCTCTGACCAAACGTAAAAAGAAGACAAAGAACCGAAAGAAAATAGCGAACGAGACTTCTGCAAAAACAAGTGTCATCTTATCCAAACAGACGACTAATGACACTACTTCTCAAGTGTCAGTGCCGTGCATCAACAGCTCTGTATCTATTAATCCTACAGTTTCGCCTGCTAATTGGCACGTATCTAGAACTTCTCATGAAAACCCAGTAGATTCTACCGTTCAAATGAATCCGTCCTCGCCGTTACACCTTACACCACAAAGTCGTTCTCGCCACGCTAGTTCCAGTAGCGACAGTTCCCACGCCGCTCTTCGTGAGGCTTCTGCTCTTGGGCTGCGGGACGCAGCGTCAAGTGAAGCATTCCCGCACCTGGAGGAGCATCTCTGGCTTGGAGTATCCGGTGGAGGCTGCTGGGTTTCTCCTGCCCATTGGCCTGACTGGTGTGTAGCCTTTATCCCTCGTTGGCTCTACTCGTGAATAGCAGGAAATGTATAGTTACAAGTGTTCTTGTGATTTTGCTAAATTCATTGCCATCTATCTACGACTGAAAGATGTATTTATTAGTAAACTACTGGCATCTTGTACTTAAACATTGCCTTTCTTGTCTTTACTTGACGTAAAGACGACCCATGTGAACATATTTACTCTTGTTGCCAGGTTCAGCGGCGGAGGCGAAGGTCTTCACGGGGTTGGTTGGAAGGAGAATATCAGCTATCAGCTCTACCAGCTGAGCTGTCAGCTACAGCCTTTCAGAGGGTGAGACATCAATTTCTTTGGCGATAGTAAAATTTTACGTCAAAACCTGTTTTCTGAAGGAACTTGAGAACTTCTTTTTTCAGTTCTCTCAGTTCTGAGAGAACTTATTTTATGTCAGTTGATGATCGTAGATATCAAATGTATTCGAAAAATCTCGCATAACAACAGTAAACTGAATGAAATTGAAGCTTCGCACTGTAGTACCGTATGTAGGCATTTTTCCTCAGGCCTTGTGTAGGAGACGATCATGTGTTAGTGATTTCTTTTTATTACAACACTTCTCTTTAACTTCACTTTTTGTTTGTTTGCTTGCTTGTTTGTTCGTTTGTTTGTTTGTCTGCTACAAATCTTATAATTGATATTTGATATTTAACACACTTCTACCTGACCAATTGATGTAAAATTTTGCACACTTGCGTAAAGTCGGAGACAATGCATGAATCAATTGACACAATAAATAATTTTGAAAATTTAAGTTTTTTCATATAAATAAAATTAGAAATTCATTGTAGGTGTGTAACATCGGAGATACTGTATTCTTTAGAAGTGTTGTCTTTAAAAATTAATTTTTAAACTCATATTATTACCACTGTGGTACACATTTGGCCCTGTGTTCAGGAAGTACCGTGAGGTGGTGCACAGTGGTAGCTGGACGGTGACGGGCCGGTGCCGTTGGTTGACAGGAGGTCACTGGTACCCGGCAACTCTGTACCTCACCATCCCTGATACCTCATCAGCTTCCCGTGATCCCGCTCATCCTAGCGAAGGTATACTGGCACCATGTAATTAGGAACTTCACATGAATTGCTAAAAATATTTCTTTTCAACACGTGATGTTATCAATCAAATTAGTTACTTTTATGTGTCATTTCGTAGTAACTTTTATTCATAGTTACTTTTAAATTTACCAGAAACTCATTCTATTAAAAAATTTTAATTGGTTCAGAAGAAGAAGAAGAAGCAGGGAATGCCGAGGGCGATGAAACCAACGATGACACAGAGGCTTCTTCTAAATCCTCCACCAAAAATTCTTCCTTTGAACCTGTCTTGGTCGTCGAATTTTCCAGCAACTACAAGAAGAAAGTAAGACTTTTCTCTAGCACATGTAACTTTTTCTGTAACTGTAAGATTGTCGTGTGCGGTAAAATAACTTAATTTTGTGATCTATATGAAGTTATTGTTCCATTGACTAAACATTTTTTCTTATAAATATTTTTTACCTGTTTGGACGGTTATAAATTATTATTATTAAATTAACGGTTATTAAATTAAGGGTTATAAAAATGTTATTACAATGTGCATAACGTAATATGAATTAAATACTTGCTTTTCCTCCCCCGCAGTTTTCCATAAGCATGGGAAGTATCTTGGCTATGCGTGTACACGTGCTCCCTCCATCCCGGTGCCTGATCGCACTGTACTGCACACCACAGCCACACGAGCCTTGCTGCCTGCAGTTCAACAGCGAGCACACGGCCGAGGAATGGGCAGATTATCTCGCCACTGCCATGTGGCAACTACGACAAACCCTCGTGACGGACCAGAAAAATGTCACTGAAGACACAATTAATCAGAACAAGCTTCCTGAAACTTCAGTCAGCCTCAAATCTGGAGTGAATTCAATGCATTCCTCCAGCTTGCGCAAAAGTATGAACTGTGAGACTCTAGAGAAAGGATCACAAGGAAGACAAAGTATGTCATCAGGAGACTCGTTGCGGGTGAAGTGGGCAAATGACAAGAGGAGTGCTGAACTCATCCATAAAGCAAGTGATCGAACAGTTTGGGCAACCACCGCAGACGGCGCTGTTTACCTGCATGACTCACTTGCTCAACCTATTAAGGTTTGCTGAATTTAATTATAAGCAAACATCTCTTTGAATGTTATTAAATTTAAACTACTTTAATTAAAACTAATTTAAACTTTTGGACTTCTACATGTGTTGTACGCTATTGTTTTACTTGAAAAAATTAATTATTGCAATCTATTCCAATTTTTAGTGCACTACGCCATTCTTGATTGAGTTTCTAATTAAATAATGATGACCTCTGCAGCAATGCTGCGCTGCAGCAGCCGCGGAGCATCGCCTGGTGTTGCCCCCGCGTTCGTCAGACACCCTCGTGCTGCCCCTGGCGGGAGGCTTCACTGAAGGCTGCTCCGTTGCTCTCACCTTAACCGTCGATCCCGACGCTGTCAGGTCATAGCCGCGACTTTGTCATTGGTCATTTTATTATTATTTGCCATGTTACAAAATTAGGTTTATTATTACATTGAACCTTCCTTTTTAAGAGGTTTTGTCTCACGCCTTTTTAGAACTAAAAAAACTTGTATATATACTGTGAAAGCTATTGGGTCTGAATGTCCCTCATTTCGATTGCATACGCCCCAAAAAAAATAGGTATGGAGTAAAATATGTCTTTTGCTTGAGGTGTATATGCATCTCTCATTGTCTAATATTTTTGGTATAAGATTTTAGTCATTTGTTCAGTACGTTTCGCTTTCCAATTTTGATCAAAATTTCAATTTTAGATTCCATGTGAACTTGGCGGTTTCGTCAGCTGGGTACTGCACGGTGGCATTACATGTCAATCCCAGAATCTCAAAAAAGGTGAAGTTTTTAATTCAGAAATTTATTGTGACATTTTTATCATCTACATGTTCTATTTCATCTCGTGGCTAAAATGTAAGTATGATCATATACATGGGTTTATTATGGGGTGATTTTGGTAGCTCTGATAACATAATGGAATAGGAGATTATCCGATAAATTTTTGTTCATTATGTTAAAGTTCAAGTAATTATGGGAGTAGTTTCTTTTTGGTTGTACATCATAAAATAATGATTGATTTACATGTTAAAATAAAGGAAACGTACTCTACTCGCCTCACCATTACGTGTCAAGCACCATACATACAAATACGAGTACAAAAACTGATAGCCCCTTGCACATGAATTTCTCCTGATGGTTATCGCGCCCTTCAGGTTGTGGTGCTGAATAGTTTCGAGTGTGGCGAGTGGCAGGAGGAAGAGCGACACAAGCTGCCTGGTTTCTTGCCGTCGTCTCGCAACACGCTGACCATCGTGTGCGCTGCTGACACCTACCAGGTGAAGCTCTTGCTCCTCTACTCTCGCTGACCACTGCCAGGTGAAGCTCTTGCTCCTCTACTCTTGCTGACCACTACCAGGTGACGCTCTTGCTCCTCTACTCTTGCTGACCTCTACATTGATGTCCCAACCTTAGCTCACTCCGATTTGCTGTATCTCCAGCGATCTTGGGCCCTATTCTAATGATTTTTTGGCTGTGATCCAAAAGCTTAATGCTGCTGTTAAATGTCTGTTACGCTAATTTCCGTAATTTTAAACGTTATTTTTCTGCAATGATGTTACGTTTATCCGTTTGAACGGAAGTTTTAATGAACAACTAGAAACCCAGTGCAATACAATACCAGTGACAGAAATTTTATTTCAGATCGGTGTTTTTTATTAAGATAATTACCGGCGCTTTGCCGAATTGCTTGAACATTCTGACAATACTGAAGCGTGGCGAATGTCCGGTGATAGGATTTTTGAAGTTAAGTTGTTTGCCGGTATAAGTTTATTGGTGTCTCACGTTTCAGTTGCTGGTGAACGGGCGCAGTTGGCACGCGTTCAAACACCGGATCGCGGCGTCGAGCGTAACACACGTGCACGTCGGTGGTGACGTTACCGTCACCAGCGCCACCTATGCGCACGAGAGGGTTAGTCTACACGCTCTTCATTATTAAATATTCTTCTTTTAATTTTTCGTGTAAGTTCATGCGCCACTCAGTTCTGTATTGTCTGATCTTTTATTGGATGTCTCATAATTATGTACACTTATCGCCATTTTGTATGCTGTTAATTATATTTCTTGCCGCTGATATTCCACCTCTGAGAAGGATGATTTCCGATAAATGTTAATTAGTCCCTTGTCAAAGAAAGTGAATGAAGGAATTAATCGTGCAGCCATCGTTGTCGCTGGACGAGTGTGTGTGGGAGGCCGTGGGGGGGCACATGGTGGCCGTCGCTGGAGGTGCTGGAGGCGTCGTGTGGGCGCTGGCCAACGACTGCCACGCCTACGCCTACACCGGCGGCAGGGGCGGGGGCCCATACAAGAGTAATGTTCTTGTGTTGTGTTAATACCTGCTAGAGTAAGACGACTTGTGTTGTGTTAATACCTGCTAGAGTAAGACGGCTTGTGTTGTGTTAATACCTGCTAGAGTAAGACGACTTGTGTTGTGTTAATACCTGCTAGAGTAAGACGACTTGTGTTGTGTTAATACCTGCTACAGTAAGACGTCTCGTGTTGTGTTAATACCTGCTATGGTAAGGTTCCTTGTATTGACATTCTTGTATAACGATCCTAAACTATTGGCATTCGTGTTATTATCAACGTTATATTGATTATTTGAAGGAATACTCTGTGAATACTCTCTGTTCCAAGTTTTGGTGCCAAAGTAACAATGCCGCTAATATTCTTTTTTTATCTTTGTTTGTTCCTTAAATTGAACTTATTGTGGACATTCTGATCGTTTATTTCTGGTTTTATGAGCTAACAGAGTTGACAAAACTTTATGTAAACGAATCAAGCGTCTGAATGTAAATAAATTAAATTAATTAAGGATTTAATAAAAGTGAAGTAATTCTCATAATTTGCAGCGCTGGGCAGCCTGACATCACCAGGGCTTGTGCATCCCATGAGTGACGTCGTCCACGACTACCTGTGGGAGAACCAGCGGTGGAATCCTGTCACTGGTACGTCTTGTCCGTCACTGGTACGTCTTGCCCGTCGCTGGTACGTCTTGCACGTCACTGGTACGTCTTGCCCGTCACTGGTACGTCTTGCACGTCACTGGTGTGTCTTGTTCGTCACTGGTGCGTCTTGCCCGTCAATGGTATGTCTTGTTTGTCACTGGTACGTCTTGTCCGTCACTGGTACGTCTTGTTCGTCACTGGTACGTCTTGCCCGTCACTGGTACGTCTTGCCCGTCACTGGCACGTCTTGCCCGTCACTGGTACGTCTTGTCCGTCACTGGTACGCCTTGTCCAACACTGTTCCAAGTATTTATTATCCGCCTTTTAAGTTTTTTTATCCTTATCCCTCCGCCTTCTTAACCATTCAGGTGGAATTGAATAAAAAAAATCCCTTATATTTTTAGGACAGTGAGGAGTGAACGCACAAAGTAATGAGTGAGTGAACTAAGAAGACAAAGTGGTATTAGCGGGACATTTTTGAGGCAATTCAGGTAAGAGACGCATTGAAAGAATCCCGAAACTCTGTCATTTGAAACGTTAAGTCCGTTAATTTCGTGTGTAAATTGCAGGGTTCAGTGTACGCGGGTTGCCTACGGACAGGCCGACGTGGACGCGCTACAGCCGCCCTGCCGAGCCCCGCACCAGGGAAGAGGTGCGCCTGCCGTCCACACATTGGGTCTGGGTGAGTGAGGGGAGGGGGAGAATTGGAGGGGAGGGTGAGTGATAATAATTGAGTAAGAGGCAAAGGCGGGATGGGTGAGTGGGGAGAGGATAGGAAGAGATTTGAGAGCGAGGATGAGTGGGAGATAAATATGAAAAGTGTGTGTAGTCGTTAAAAAAACGATGTGATCATTCAGTCTGAATGAGCGGTCTGTTCAGTAAATGAGATAAGCTTTTTTACGTTTTGAATTTAAATCAATGTAAATGTTCCAACTATGTTTTAAATTATCAATATGCCGGAAAGGATTTTGATATATGGGTGGTTCTTTCCTGTCCCTCACCTCAGCAAACGAACTAGGGTCGCATGACTGTCGTGCAGATATCTGAACTGACGTAAAATTTCTATACATTGGTTCACGTACCAGATGAGCGAGTGGGCTGTAGACTACCACCCTCCTGGGGGCTGTGACAGCGAAGGTTGGCAGCACGCCACTGACTTCCCCTTGAGCTTCCACTCACACTGCTACGTCACCGACCTCGTCAGACGACGACGCTGGAAACGCAAACGTCGTCTTGTCACCTCCGGGCCTTGGCAGCAGCTTGGCAGGACCCTTCTTGTGCATGTGGACATTGCCGTGAGTTGAAGTGATGTCGCCTGTAGCAAATTTGAAATTTCCTTGAAGAGCTTGAATGGATAGTAACCCTCGGGCCTTCTGAAACATTTGTTTGCTCGTCAAAACTTTAGCTCGTTAAAGCGTCCATTTGCGTGTGGTTTTTCTATGTTGTATGTAGGTCAGTTGTCAGGTAATATTGTAGTGTCGGTTACGATTCTTGCAGGACGTATAGGTGAACAAGGTGCCGTGAAAGCCACCACTTGTGTGGGTGTATTCGTTTCTGTTTTTTTTTTTTTTCCTTCGTTCATAGTCTCTCTTCGGAATTCCAACTTCAGGTCTCTCTCGTCGACTTCAGCCTTTCACGTACCAGATGAGCGAGTGGGCTGTAGACTACCACCCTCCTGGGGGCTGTGACAGCGAAGGTTGGCAGCACGCCACTGACTTCCCCTTGAGCTTCCACTCACACTGCTACGTCACCGACCTCGTCAGACGACGACGCTGGAAACGCAAACGTCGTCTTGTCACCTCCGGGCCTTGGCAGCAGCTTGGCAGGACCCTTCTTGTGCATGTGGACATTGCCGTGAGTTGAAGTGATGTCGCCTGTAGCAAATTTGAAATTTCCTTGAAGAGCTTGAATGGATAGTAACCCTCGGACCTTCTGAAACATTTGTTTGCTCGTCAAAACTTTAGCTCGTTAAAGCGTCCATTTGCGTGTGGTTCTTCTATGTTGTATGTAGGTCAGTTGTCAGGTAATATTGTAGTGTCGGTTACGATTCTTGCAGGACGTATAGGTGAACAAGGTGCCGTGAAAGCCACCACTTGTGTGGGTGTATTCTTTTTTTTTTTTTGTTCCCCTTCGTTCATAGTCTCCCTTCGGAATTCCAAATTCAGGTCTCTCTCGTCGACTTCAGCCTGCAGGCGATGTAAGATCGTCCATCTTTTTATTGTGATGAATATTTTTCCATCTTTTATGAAATTTTTGAAGGTTGGACCATTCGTCGTGTCAGTTATGAGTTAATTATTTTATTTCGGCTGTTCTTGGAACCAAATCTTAGTAAATCTGACTAGTAATTGGGCGGACCATCATAGTATTAAAGTGGCAAGCTACAGGCGGAAATTACATCGCACTATTTTATACTTCATCATGTTCTACTATTTCAGTCGCGAGCTGCCAGCGACGGCACGATACCGGTTTGGGGTGTGAGTCTGAGCGGAGAGATGCTGTACCGCGCGGGAGTCACGCCACAGTGTCCGGAAGGCACGGCATGGACCATGATTGCCACGGACCACCCCGTGTCTCACGTGTGCGTCGACATGGGTCCCTGCGTCTCAGGAGAAGACGGCGGGACTCCAGACGACACTTCACCAGCTACTGTGATACGGGACGGCAAAAATGAAGGACATTCTCGTAGTCTCGTGGCTAATTTGTGTCAAGTCTGGGGTGTGGCAAAGGATGGCCGTGCTCTTCTCAGGCTTGGTGTGACACCCACCAACCCCATGGGTATCCAGTGGGTTGATGTGGACGCCCCAGGAGTGCCTCTGAAGGCGGTCCAAGTTGGAGCAGGGGCTGTATGGGGACTCGACCAGCAGGGAAGTCTCTATCGTCGGGCCAGAACGCAGCCTCTCTTTCCCGAGGGCACAAGCTGGACGTACGTTTGCGGTGGAGTCGAAGAAATCAGCGTTGCTGCTAATGGGGAGTTATGGGCAGTGGTCACTCTTACGCGCGCGGCTGAGGATAATGCCAAAGAAAAGACAAGTTCTGGGGCATCAGGCAAGGGCGTTGGAATGCTCTGCAGGCGAGTGGGTGTCACTACAGCGACGCCATTAGGTGACAGCTGGGCGTTTGCTGCAGGCGCAGGCTGGGGCGGCGTCAGTGCTAAAATGATGTGTAGTGCGCAGTTCAACAAAGGTTCCGAGGAGACAGATGAATTTCTTAATTAATTTATGAAAGCGGGAATATTCTTTTATGCTTTATCCCATGCTAACGTTTTCGAGGTTGAATTTTTAACTTGAGTTTTTACCTGTAAATTAGAAAGCATTTTGTGCGGTACAGTTAAGAAGCATGGGACAAGTTCGTAACTCGCGCGAACGCTTTTTATACTCTGGACCATTCATAAAATGAACACATTTACCCAGCTTGACAATAAAATGTATGATTTTCCGCTGAACCAACGCGATTAGCATTTACTCGCCACAACGAACAAATTAATCTCCTGCAGCTCACAAAACTAAATGAAAGTGAATGACAAACATTTATCTTCAATGTTTGGCCCAAGGATGATACCATTTGGGTTTTACTCCTGATTATAGAATATGGTTTTAATTCTGATTTACCAGTCTGTGTATATGCTGCAAAACTATCACATTCGCAATCAAATCGCTGCTATATGAACAAATTTAGTCTTCAGTTCATCAGATTCAGGAGCGGAGTATCAAGTTTCTGACAATACTGTAATTTATGTTCATAATCGAGGCTGTCGCTAGACGCGTATTAATGATGAACTGATTTCTCTATGTGTACTCTAGTCTATCTTTCATTGCTGCGTCTTGAGTTTGTCATGCGATCAAAACACGTAAACCTCCTCGCTCTTAATACAGCGTATCATTATTGTTCTCAAGAATTTAGGCATCCTGCCTCCTATCGCCCGGAGATTTTTTGTACTTTTGTTTCATACTTTTAAACGTAATGATTATTTTTACCAGCTTGTGATCTTAGTTGTAATTATTAATTGTACATCCCAAGTTAGTCTTCCCATGGTCACTAGAGAAACACATTTTAGTTTTTACGTACCAGTGCGCTGTAGTGCAATTCATTTATGTTCATTTGAACGAATCTTTTCCAGCATAAGATAAATTTTATTCCTTCCTTCATATCCTCTGTGCTCATACATTCCATGTATTACATAAAGTTTTTGTGTAATATGTATATATGTGTGTGATAGTGATGTCTTTTCGCATTCTCTCATGTACAACTCGCCGGTAAAATGTTACACTAATCGTCGATTTTTACCGTTAATTCATTCGACTGTTAAAGGCGAATCAAGTGTCAGTATTTTTTTATTCATATGGACTCACGAGTAGGATTAATTTCGCGAATTATTTTCAAGGCGGACGAGTATTTGACCTTTGCCGGACATTTTATTCTCCTTCCAAACGTCTGGGCATCTTTAATTAATCGTACTACTGCCTCTATTGAAAAATGTGAAGTTTCCCTTAGACATTTTGAATTAGATGTGTTATTGTATAATATATTATTAAAGCGGGATCGCAAGCCTGGTGCTCGATTTAATGATTAATTCCATTCTAGACTATTTTAAATTCTCAATAATGTTTAATGTGGGAGTAATTCTACCCAATTCTTCGAATTTCTCTTTGGGCACGAGAATGTCTTGATAACATCATTTGATAGAACTTTTTTTACTAATACTTTTTCAATATTTTGGGATTCTATTTGATCAAAGCAGCCTCTACTGTTGGTTTTGTTTTAGAACGTGAAAGATGTGGTGCTCACAGTGTATTAACTTTTTTCATTAATATAGCTAACTATAAAGCCAGTGAATATAATTGAGAATTTATAGCATCAATGGCAACTAATTTTCTTGCATTGAAATATTAATGTATTCACAGAAATGTTAACTTTAACTGACTGCATTTTCAAGCAGCATTTTGTCTCCCTGAAAATATTTCAGCGCCGTTCCAACATTAACCACTGAAACGTATAACGATGACGACAATAACCCGATTTTGTGTTCATATTGACTTAATTTTTTTCGCGTCCTTAGCTCTCGCCTTCTGCATTTTATTGAAGCCAATATAATTTATCCTCGATTCATGCGGGATTTTGATATCAATTATTAATAGTTCACACATTTTATACTCAAATATGTAGCATTTTTTAGCATTATTACGTTGCTCATTTGTATATACTATAACCCCAGAATGTTATGCTCTTAATAATTCCAACTGAATTTCTTGCGATAATAATACTAATAATGCTAACATTCCGTTTGCAAAGTCAGATTTATACTCTCCTGCACTGATTGATGCACGACGGCTCTGCTCTCCCTTTACTTTCAGATCTCCAGCTGGTGAGGATCTAATTTCCTGGAAATTAATTCTTTGTCCATTATTTATTACCAAAAGTGAATAGAAACATACGGATGTATCGCCGAGGTGGAAAAAGGTCAGGTTGACGCGAATACTATCTTGGTCAAAAACCAACTTTATTGTTCGAACGCCGCGGTTCTCCTTCTTGATTCCATGTCGGATTACAGCAGCGTAACTTGCCAGTCATATTTCTAGTATGGATTAGAATTTATCAATTGTATTGATGTGTCCGAAATGTTTGCTATCCATGTTTAGTCTAGAAATGATGCATGGGCTAGTGTTATACAAGAGCTCTCTGTAGCAAGATAATTTCTGCTGCATCCTAGCAAATAAGATATTTATTTAGTTGGCGAAAATCTTCTTCCCATAATTTCCATTGCATGAAGTCAACTTTAATTATTTCATGATGCAGTGCATGATGTAACGGTATTTATAAAATACCGTTAGTAAATACGGTATTTATTCAATTTTAGGTAATGTCACTCTGTTGTAAGCATGAAAACCGTTTTAAAATCAATTTCTAGTTTGTAACAACAGTTGTTGCTTAATGAAATCATTTTTAATACTTGACAATAGTGTTTACTGACGTACTTGAGCATACGGAGGCTGTGATAAACTCATTAGCTGATAAATTGTTTATAGACCTGAAATTTAGGACGTGGTTAGTTAAGCCGCATTATTTCTGATCATGCAAGTCCCGCATGTAAGAACGTAATTGCCTTGTTTGTGAATTACGTCGTGCAAACGAGGAGGTGACCAATATGATGGATCGTTCATTGCTGAAGATGAATGCCAACAACGTGAGGAGAGTTTCCGTGTAGATTTAGTAATTCAGTTTTTAAGGGCGGAAGATTTGATCTACTTGTCTATAAATCTTGCTTTAGTTTGAGTATTTTGCAATCAATTTCGTCAAATTGATGTCAACGAGGTTGATAGGTGGCCGTTATTCCTTTAAGACTTGTTATTCTGCAAATATAAGGCTTAAAACAATACAGAAAATGAATCTTTACTTGTACTTTCTTACTTTACTGAACTGATTGAAACACCATTTCGGACGAGAATGTTAAATTGCCGATAATTGCAAACGAGTTTACTATCAAATACGTAGTTACTAATAAGGTTACCTCAGCAAATCCTCCTTAGTCCGTTCAGTTGCATCATTTTACAACTGCACGAGCAATTTTTTGCTTGCGAGTGTTATATTGTTTGTCCCACTTCACACCGAATGATGTGCGTGTGAGATTAGTGCAAAAAAGCTAACGAGCAAAAGATTAATGCAGTAAAGTGACCTCGCATTTAGATATCAAACGGAATTCCTCATAACTAATGATGGCTGATAGAATACTCCTTAGGTTATATAATATTAATATAAAAAAGATCCTCCTTGGCTACAAATGAAGCAGTTGCATTAGCTTGCTCCTCAAAACTTATCCATGCTCAATCATTGCCATTAAACCAAATATGTATACTGACATAAATCATTGAATCGTACCATTAAAATAATTGCGGCACTTCTTGGACAACTTCTCAGGTAGCATGCGTACAGCAATAAACTCAGATCGAAAGTTCTTCCTGGACAAACTGCAAGTGAAGGTCTGCCACAGCGGAAAATATTTTCTTGAACATTTCATCGGCTCTCGGAATGTTTTTGTCTCTGATGAGCTGCTTGATGAGGACGGCCAACTCCACGGTACTCAACCCTCGAGTCCGCTGGGCCAGGGTTGTCGGATCCAGATCACGGTCGAGCTCCTGCAATGTACTGCCATTATTACCGATTGCTTCACTTTTCTGCACTTTCCAGTACGACTCATCCCTCGATGTTTGGGCGGAAGAACCCCAGGATGCGTTAGATGACTCCCCGTGTGGCTGAACGCCATATTGTCCATTCGAACTATTTTGACCTTCAGATGTGTATGCGGTTGCTTTCTTAGCTCCATAGTTGTTGCTATCGTTACCCGACTCATGATAGTATTCTGATTTATTTACAGAAGCATAACCAGGCCATTTGTTGTCCGAAGCACCGCCGTAACCAAGCGATTGGCCCTGCCTCCCAACGCTACTACCCATGCTGGTGCTTCGTGACGCTCGGTTAGTTTTGGCAGCAATGAGCCCATCCTTGCGCTTAGTGAATTCCTCTTCCATGAGATCGTTTACCATCCCTTTCCATACGTTGTTCCACTCCTGCTCTACCGTAGATCCATCTTTACGCCTTATTTGTTCGTCATAGAGATCCATGAATACCTCGCGGTGCTCGCAATAGTTGGGATGTAGCTCGGGATTCGTTACATACGTCTGAAACTCGACTTCCAGCTCAGATCTTAGACGTGATTCTTCATCAGACGACAACGTTAGGTCGTCGGACGATCTGAAACAAATATTTGCTGTTATTTTCGGGCAATGAGTATTAAGCATAACAATATTTATGCCTTTTTCTCAGCATCTTGCTCGTGAATGCACATAATTCTAAAATTTACCGACCATCAGAATTCTAATAATAAGAAAATGCCGCAATGTATGAATCTGACGATTTTTAGCAAATTGGAAACATCATATATTGTGGTTGATAACAATTCAATGTGTAATTGTATGGATAACTAATGAATTTGTCAATAATCTGACCTCGACTCAATGTCTGGGCGAAACTTCTTCCCAGCATCTTGCTCATGAGATGAAATAGTCTTGGAACGATCGCTGGTTGGTGACTGACTACGAGAACGGTATCTCTTCCTTGTGTCCAAGGAGTCTTCAGATGACTGGTCATATCCGAATCCGCAAGTCTTGGTGGTAGTTTGTATCATTTTTGCTACTGTTGATGCACCACTCGTACTTGGCATTCGAGGATACGGCGAATTCCATTGTGACGTTTGCGGCCGAAACGGTTGGTTAAAATTTGAACTCGTGCCCGGAGGTGGAGGAGGAGGAACGGATCCCAAAGTCGGCCATGTTTTAGAACCTGCAGGTTGAGAACCGGACTGGAAGACGAAACTTCCGCCCGTATAATTCGGAGGTCTTGCATTCATCATCGCCGATGGACCCACACCAGGTCGAAGTCGAGGACCCATGGACGGTGCAGGAACTCCACGGCCTACGGAAGGTGGAGGAACTCCACGACCCATGGACGGAGGAGCAACTCCACGGCCCAGGGACGGAGGAGGAATTCCACGGCCCATACTCGGAGGCGGTACTCCAGGGCCCATAGTGGGTCCTCGCGATCTGTTGACGAAGCCCATTGAAGGTGGACGTGCATTTGGAGCGACAGCAGGCGCATGCATACGCTGTCCATAACTCATGCTTGGCGGTCGATCTCCAAGTCTCATAATTGTCGGTGGACGGAGCCCAGGACTTGTAAGCATGGCAGGAGGCCGGGTGCCAGGAATCATCATACGAGTATTCGTCCCCATCGTAGGTACCCGAGGCATGGACTGTGGGTTGACACCCGCACCCATGATGGGGCGGGCACCGGGCTGGCGATACATTACGTTCATGGGAGCATGAGTTGGCATAGCGGGACGGTTAGCTTGTCCAGCAAAGTTAGGCCATCGCCCCACGGCAGATGATGGTGGATTGCAGGGCCGATTACCCGGGCCTTTGCTGATGCGAGGAGGAGGGTACCCGCTAATGGTCACCCGTGGCAGTGAGCTGGGGTCGTATGCTGAAAAAAGGAAATTTGCAATTAAATTCCTTTCACGTAATTACAACAAAAAATTGCATTGTGGTAAAATTTTTTGTGCCACGAAGCATCGAACGTCGTTCAGTAACCATAAAGTTAAAAATTATAGTTCTTGATTGCTGTCTCTAACCTATCATAAAAAAATCGATTCCAGCAATAAGATTGTGTGTATTTAACACAAAAGTACCTAATTTTGAATTGAAATAATATTGGCTCTGCGTTTCCATATATTTATAGGCGAAATGAAATACTAGTAATATAACGAAACTGAAAATCTGTTGCTAGTGTGAAAGATCACTCAATTCTAAATGTATAAATAAGATATTTCACGAATGTACCTTAAAATTATGTAAAGCCGAAGTAAGAATAAGCCACATTCCTTCTTGATTTTGCACATTCTTCGACGTTACTTGAAAGCCAATAGTCTATTAATTGCAATTTAGTTTCAACAAGATATTGGTAGTTTGATCAATGCCAACAATGGGACGTCGTTAATACAGCACCTTGCGTGATGGCCGTCCCGGTCTCGGAGCGCGTGATGAGGCGCAGCTGACATCCGAAGAGCGCGTTGGCTCCTGACAGCTCCTGCTGGCACGACTTACGACTCACTATCACTGGGCGTGCTCGACCTGAGACGATTAGTACAACTTATTAAAAATCTACATTTTGTTAACCGCAACAATAGAGAAACAAACGCAATTTGATAGACAAACCAATGCATGCCCCAAAAAAAGTAATAAATAATAATAACCGAAATTAAACTAATATTTTTGGGTGTATACCCGTGGTCGAGAGTTGTCCGTTTAATCAAGTTATGAGTTAGACTAGGTTGAAAAAATCGGTTTGCTCACTGTTTGTAGCCCGCATCCAGGACACAATTTCCAGGAGGGGAGCCTTCTCATTCGAGGTCATGAGGGACTTGAGTTCCTCAATGATCAGAAGCTGCAGACAGCTCGGGTCTCCACCACTGCGCACGATACCCAGCACGAAACGCACCGTGCCGATAACCACGTTGCCTGCAGCGAAAATATTGCATCACTGCTGGCAGTTAATACAAAATATTACAACACAAGTCGTAGTAGGAAGAAATTTAACGGTTGCAATACAATTCTTATTAGTCTAACAATAACGCAAGTTATTGAAATTTGCTAACATCTTGAAACTGGTGTGCTTGTTTTGAAAGAAAGGAAATGTTGAACACAAGAATCCCGTTAGAGGAAAGTAGCGCCCGCGGAAATTCTACAATGCGCTGAATATAATTAGAACTGTCTTCTAAGATTTTTACCAGATATAGAGACCTGTGTAATTACAAAATATATTAACAGATGGTGAAGCCGCTTACAAACATAAACATTTTCAAGTGAAACTGGATAAAAGTTGCTTATTTAGATAAGTGTGAATTGTAACATTGTATAACACATCATATTAGCTAGGAAAACAACATGTTAAACAAGAATAGAAGGAAAAATATTCCGTTTTTGGTTCAAATTAAAAGTTTTGCACATCTTTACTTGCTTGTATAAGATCTTTACTTGCTCCATAAGATTCAAATCGAGAGATCAAAAAATTTTCAAAGAAATTACACCTGATTGATGTCCGTTTTTTTTTTTATTTTCAATCAAATTCCACCTTATTATGTCCGTTTCCACACTATCGAACACGAAACCTGGAAATAAATCACACGACTGCTTCATTCGAGGCGTCAAAGAATAGAAGAGCTCGGTGAACATCCACAAACTTATGGTCTTCACTCACAAAAACTCGGAAAAATAATAGATGATTAAGCGACCATTTTCACCTGAAGTTTTCTGAGAATCTCTGGTGACAAATGAAAGCACCGCGGTGCCAGGGCCTTGAGGAAAGCGCGTGGTGTTCAGCAGGGATTCTTGAAGAGTGAGGCGTAGGATGCTGGCGTCTTCAGCGTTTTGAGTCACCACAATCACCAGTATTTTGTCTGAAAACAATCGTTAGCAGTGCACTGCGCGGAAAAAAATACCCCTGTGCGTAATCGCGAAGAAAGCGAACATTGAAATTTTCATCAAAATTATTTAATATGCCGATTGATATTTTAATATGTAACTTAAGATATGCAATATGATCGATACAATATGAAACTAATTCATCACTAAGAACTTATTCTTCATGAGGCTCCATCTGGCCAGCATGCCAAAACAGCATTTGCAGCAAAGAGAGAAGAAAGTGGAGATAAGTGAACAGAACCAAAGAAAATGGTACGAAGTGTCGTTTTTACGGTACGTCGGGCGCCGGCACCAGAGAGACTGTGAAGTGAAGTGCACGGAATCTTGCCTACATAACGTAACCATAAAACGGGGAGCCGCAGTCACTTGCCCAGAGCTCTCTGGTGATAAGCTAAAAACATTGCACGACTACGGGAAACTTATTTGTTTCTCTTTTGAGCGAAGACCTGCGTCAGCCGTCAGATGATTCATACGAGAGAAAACAGGACAACTTCTCATTATAATCTCTTATTTTAGAGACAAACTTCAACATAAACCAGAAAAATTATTTCTTTATTGCCGCGTACTGATGCTAAAAACCACATATGAAATTGACTAGACATCATAATGCCGCTGGGGAGGCCATACCGTTTCTGATGTGCTGTTGATGGTGATGGTGGAGGTACTGCAGCTCTCGGTGCAGATACAACAAACTCGCGTCAAGGCCTTCCACGTAATCTTTCTCCTCCAAGCGGTTTTTGAAAAATGAGTCATCTGTGAAAGAAAGGTAATTCAAAGTTATGAATTAGATTTATAACTAAGAAAAAAGGACTTACAAATAAAATAAAACCCCTCATTCGTAAATCTGACACCTGTTATACACTGTATGTCCCGATGTTTAAGGGGAGCGTCTGGCCACTTTTTTTTTCACGGCTATTTACAGGCGGATCACTTTGAAACTTGGTACATATAGGTAAAAACCGAAAAATGGACAGCTTTTATTCGTGTCAATTTTTCGAAAAAAATGAAAGAAAACGTGAAATTCTTAGAAAACGGCCAAAAAAGGGGTACTGTAGAAATCTATCTCCTCCTAGAATTTTCAAGTTACAGCGATGAGACATATACCATTCGATTCGAAATTAAAATATCTATCGATTCAACGTAGCCTCTTTTTGAATTTCGAATTTTTGTGGATTTTTTGCAAAAAAAAATAAAAAAATCCCCTTTCCCCTTTTTTTCTAAATATTTTCAAAACTATAGTTAGTTAGTTCAGTGGCCGTAGTTGCTAGCGCTTTTTTCAAAACTATAACAAAATTCGAAAAAAGCTACGTTGAATCGAAAGATATTTTAATTGCGAATCGAATGGCAATCTCTCATTGCTGTAGCTTTAAAACTCTAGGAGGAGATAGGTTTGCCGTGACAATAAGTGTGAATGTTCAGAAAAAGCGCGACCAAGTCCCGCGCGCACCGGAATAGCCACTCAATGTAGCAAGGATACAAAACTAAACGTTACTGGAGCTTGATTCCAGTCAAGGATGGTGGGAGCGACTGCATGCTCACCACACCGTACGACGACAGGCGGGTAACTGAGCTGCAGCTCAAGAAGACACTCTATATATAGAGCTCGGCAGCTAATTTCCCCCTATCTTATTTGTTAAAGAACTCCCCCACCCCTCACCCTTGCGGGATCTGTCGCGAGATGATTTTGGTACCGTTGAATGCGTCAGAAAAGCAGCTTTAAGATTAATAAAAGAACTGGAGAATGTCATAATTGGCCGCTTCACGTCAGACGATCCCCTTTATAGTGCCCGGCCGGGTAATTCCTGCCTTAACTTTACTGAAGGGGCCCGGACACCTCCCCCCTTACGGGATCTGTCGCGAACGCATAAATCAACGTACAGAGATGGTTCTGGTACCATTGGATAGGTCAGAATGTCAGCTTTGAGATGAGGATAAAAACCGGTAAAGCCAAAATCCAAAAATTTTGGCCAGACGCTACCCTTAACACTGAACTTCAAACACCTGCCATTACCAAAGCAGCTCACATTTCCATTTCTAAATTAATAATATTGCACAAATTTCAGGCAGTGGTCTCGACAGGTTTTCGATACCTGTTATAAAGGAATAGCCCTAAGTAAAAGCTCCTTCCTTGAACTATTAGCTATAGTGATCCACTAACAGTCACTATTAGTCTCAACTATTAGTTTTAGTGACCCACTAACAGTCACTAGAAGTCAAATAGAATAGTCAGAGAACAATAAACCTACCAAGTTTGATTTGTTCCGTGTATTTATTGTCGCAGGTCAGGAAGAAGAGCTTCAGTTTCGGGAGGAGCAACTGCTGCAGTCGCTGTTTCTCACGCAGAGGGCAGGCAGGCAGCGTCTCTGCTGACATACATGCATTATAAATTATTTAAATAAATAGTATCCAGAAATTACACAAAAATTTGAACAAACGAGGCCATATATGAAACTTCACTGATTATCATGCGTACCGAATAGATTTGTACGTTTTAATGGAAACTAGCCTAAATCCAGAAATGTAAGGTTACTGTTATTTGTTAAGTCCTAGCCTATTATCAGCCTATCAGGGTTTAGCAACTATAATTATAGTACCTAGCACTTATAGTCATTTAATAGTGGGGAATCTATCAATACACTCCCTTAAATTATTTCAAAAGGTAATTTTTACGTGCTAAGAAAATGATCACACAAGTCGGCGCATTATATAAAGCTGTAGATATCAACAATACTTCGAACTATACACCATTGCAACTTCAATTCTTCCGTTTAGTCAAAATATAATAATTTGAAGCAATACAAACGATATTCAAACTATTACACAAGGTACGACAGTAGCACTCGAGTGTAGCACTCGTAACAACATGAGCATGTATTGCGCATCGTAACGTTTGAACGTGATATGCTTCAAGGTTTAAGTCAACTCACGGCCTTCAAAGTCGGTTACGGTGACGGTGATGTGAACGAAGCAGCAGCGAAAGTTGTGGAGCAGAGACACGAACAAAGCCGTGCGGATGGTGTCAGGGAGCTGCACTTTGTAGCCCCCTGCCAGTAAATTTAAAATCGTATTCATTACTTGGAGGAAAATACAATAGGTCACCTGAGGCGCTAATAATACACAAGAAAAATGTCAAGTCAGATCATAGAGGAAGTTTGATCAGGATACTTATTCTGATGAAATTATTATTTTCTAGTTACAAGCAGATAATGAACAACATTTAATAATAAATTACTAGCGATCACGAGTTGATATAATACTAACGGTGCTCAGCTTTGGTCACTTCATCAAGAGGCTCGAAAGGCGCGACGAGAGCGCACACGAACGAATGCGGCAGTTCAACGTATCCACTTTGAATGACGACCTCCCGAGGTTCACCAAGGAACCCCGAGTTCTGAGAAAAATCCTCCGAAGTTTCCTTAGCAGCAGACGACGAGGCGGAGTGATTTGACATCGGTGAGCAGGCAGGAGATGGACGACCTACGGAGCCAGCAGATGCGGAGGCGCCGGTGGTCTCCGGAGGTGGAGTTGGAGGTGCAGTTTTTTCCGGGATACCAGCGGTGGGATGAACGGCGGTCTTGATGGACTCGGCTTTAGCAGAATCCTGAACGGTATAATCATTGCTTTCAGACTCAATTGTCTCAGGCACATGAGAATAATGGCCTAAACTTTCAGTCGAATAAATGTTTTTTTTTTCTTTTTTCATTTTTGTTTGATTGAGCTTAGTGAGCTGTTAACGTTCACACGATCTTAATAAACATTAAAAAATTTGCCGGTTTTAATTTTAAAATGAGTGTGAAAAATTGAACGTACGATCGATGCAATTCACTGGTCTTTCGTACGCATGACCAACACGTTTACTGACTGTAATATTACATCATTTTAAATCATCATAATCGTACCAGCGTAGGTACAGTTGTACCTACGCATTCCCATAAAATGATAAATGTAGATTTAGCAAACAAGTTAAAAGAAATCAAAATAAGTGGAGAGTTGCCCGCATGTTCATCTTTAAACAATTAGGCAAGAGGGTAAGAAATGGTTGTAGTAAAAGGATCAAGAATTTAGAAGCTTAAGGGAAAACCATAAGGGGGAAAATAGAGGCCATCATTCTCAACGTTAAGACAGCAAACGAATCAAGAGAAAAAATTTTGGTGCACGTTTGTATAAGAAAATTCTGAGGAATGGATTTGAATGGATCTGAAGATTTAGGTGCAGAATGGATAGAGAATAAGTTGAATCCCCGCAGAAATTTTGAGGACTAGTGGCAATTGCTCGCGTCTCACCTCTTCAGACACTCCGCCAACTGTAAGATAATAAATAGATAATGTATTAGGCTGTGATAATTATTAATGTTACAACAAATTCACCACGTGGTTCTGCCACATAAGAGACATGGAATTAAACATATGTTGCATTGATTCCGTTCAAAAAGTCATAATTATTTCACAATCTGGTAATAAAATGCTTCATGTTTCAAATTTCTTGCTGAGAAGTCATTGGTCCAACCATGACTATACTCATGACAAGATTTGAACAAAAGTATATAAATACAAATTTAATACCTAATCTTGAAATCAACAAAATGAATAATTTAAAAACACATAAAAACTAAACTCACCCGGGAAGACAAGTTTGAAGACCTTGGTGAGGATGTCTTTCATCAGTAAAAGCCATTGACTCCTTTCAGGAAAACTTTCTTCAGAATACAATCGAGGGTTGTTAGCGCAGTTGAGCGTGAACTCCACATCGTGCAGAAGCGGCGCAAAGACCCCGGTAAGTGAAGGGTCCATTTGATACTCAGGCTTGATCAGCTCCTGGGCCAGATTAAGATAAATTCGGTCCCAGGTTTCCTTCTCTCCATAGGCCATGGCGTTTCCAGAATCCGGCGTCCAGAAAGTCGCGTGAAGAAGCGTGTGATTCCAGTAATTTTTTTCTTCGCTTTGAAGCAACAGTCGATCAGGAGCACCAGGCAGAAGTAACACGCTGCTTTGGTGAGGCAGTCGTTGCTTCACACTTAGAAGTTTTTCTGATACAGACTCGAGGGTTGAGTGCACCAAAGACTGTACGGCAATGTCGTCCTGCCAGTCCACTGAGGCATCAAGATGACAGCGTTGAATTTTATTCACGCAGCGTTTGCTTTGGCAATCAGGATAGGCTCTTCTGTCGGCGAAAAGTGTCACGTCCACGAGGAACAACAGCAAAACATTGGGGGGTTGTGAACTGAGTATATCAAGCAGCTCGGTGATGGAGTCATCTGAGAAGGAGATACTGGGCATCAGCTGCAGGCGGTCGTCATTCTTCAATGTCTCTCCCACTTTGGACCTTAACCCCAAATCGCCGATGATGAAAACCTTCTTGTACCTACGAGTCTTGGAAGACAAATCCGCAAGATGCGTGAGACTGTAATAAGTGTCACAGAACTGGAAGTCATCCAATGTAAGCAACCGCTGTGTGGGGCACCCGCTGCACACAGTAAAGAGCAACTCGTGCAGCACGCGACTGTACAATCCAAAAAGCGTCGAGCAAACGTCAGGATAACTCTCACTTTGGGAACACATATCAGCAGCCAGAGAAGTTTTTCCACAACTTATTTCTTCAGCAAAAGCTTCTAGAGCCTCACAATGCAGCGACTCTTTGGATAAATTGGCAAGGACTTCATGGCATACAGCGCTGCTGAAGGAGCGATACAGGGCGTGGGCGCGGGATACACTTGATTGTTTGATCTCGAGTAACTGGACGCCCAGCGGCAGAGGATCGTCCATGGATTCCTCAATAGATTTTGAGTCGCTGAGTACACAATGCAGAGGGAGACAAGGAAGAAGAAGAACACTCGAGTTTTCAGGAATGCTACATTCCAAAGCCCGCATGAAGGATTTTAGGCGCTGGATGCCCTGCGGGAAAAAGCAACTTTTACAAGTTTTGTCACTGCGCAAAATACTCATAATAGTCTTTACCAATAAATTTAAATGACCATTCGAATGCATTTACAGTATTTAAGATCCCATAATTCAATAATTCAGAAATGAACAATGCTCGTAATGGAGGAAAAAACTAATTACCATCAGAACACCAGAAAAATGATAAAATTAATTTAATAGACATAGCAAATTGAAAATCTGCCACCATTGTTTGGATCATGCATTAAACAGAGTTTCATCTGAGAATATTATTGGAATCCGAACAAACCTGGGAATCATACACAAGATAATATTTAAAATACTGGCACCTTCTCAACATCTTGGGCCCCCGAATGGCCCGGCCAAATGCCTGATAGCCAACTTGGTACCACCGCCACTAGGGTGCGCTGGCTCCCGCCTAGCGAGTTGAGGATGCCGTCAGTGTGTGACGAGCTCCAGTCGGGGACGGTCGTCACCTCAGCCTTAAGAGAAAAAATGAAATTCACGTTACTTGTTATTAGGAGGCGAGTCATTCAACTAAATAATTTAAGTTAAGATTGGAGATATCTGTTTTAATACTGACTCAAAAAGACCTTGCAATCTCAATACTTTCAGAATAAGTAGCAAACCGTTACTTCAACACTTCGAATTTCCTTTGTCAAATAGGAAAAATTCTAATTAATAAACTAATTTGTAGCTTCTCAATCAAGCTCCATCCCACGTTTTAGTAGGATCCAATTTTAAATTTTCAAATGTTTTCGATGGAATCAACCCTTTTAGACTCACGGCTCAAGTCAGTTTACCTGAACCTGCAAGCATCGCTGGTGGAGAAGCTTCTTCAGGGCCGGAGCGAACGCGGTCTCCACCACCAACAGCGCTCGACTGAAGCGTCGCAGCTGAGGCACTCTGCACATGATCAGTCTTGGTAAATAAAGTAATTCACTTGGAGGAGATAACTTCGTTGAACCCTGCACATGATAAATTTGAGTCGAGGTAAACAGAGTAAGTCAATAATAGACAGAGTAAGTCAATAGAGTAATAAGTTAAGCAATGGAATATGCAGTGCTTCATCAAGAGTTCAAAGCGTTGCGAATTGATTGCTATGTTTGATGCTTGGAAAATCACTTAAAGTGATGTGAATTAATTGATCTTTTATCAATTATGAGTACGAGTGTACATATAACAAATTGAATTCTGTCTCACCGGCAGAAGGTCTCAGTAATTTTTTTGAATGATCATAATTGATTACAAGATCCGAATTCAAGTGATTAATGGGAGGTGCTATAACAGTGGTTTGCTGTCTTTTGTCAATACATTTCTTTTCAAAAAATTACATGTAGTTTTCGACATAATTTTCAGATATCTAAGTTTTGATTTTCTTCATCTCTAACTATCCGCATAGAAGAATGCTAATAGCTCATTAATTCATGCTTGATACAAAAATTTTCTGCTCTTGATAAATAATTTCATCAAAGAATTCGAATAACAATATATAATTGTTTGAGTTTTAAGTACCTGTGATTAGTACATGATATGGGTAAACAAATGCAAATTTGTTGCATCAAACTGCATCATCACCAGAAGTTTTAGTTAACAGGTTCATCTGCAAGTTAGAGTTACCTCCTGCTCTTACAACATATTGTTCACAAGAATGGTAATCTAAAGCATCTAGCAGCGGCTCACGACTTCTTATTCAAAACATTCTTTCCAACCCATAATGCAAAACACGACCTTGAGAAGATAATACAGTACTAGACATTTTGATAATTATATAACTTGACAAATCAATAGCATTGCATCGATCTAAAAAAACGATAAAAAAACTAAATTAAAAGGACGCTAGGCTTTAAAGCATAATTTTTATGACCCATCATGTAAACTAAGAAAAATTAATTATTCACATTGTCCAAATAGTGACACTGATGAAAATGGTTTCACTGTTGGAAATGAGAAAGACTTATAACTTGTCATATTTCCATATCCCCATTCTATATACATCAAATAGAACGTGGTTTATAATGTTCATGATATCTTATTTGTGTCATGAACATAAATGAGTTCAGTGAAAACGAAGCCTGAAACAGGAAAATTAATTAGTGCCTGAAATTGTTTCATATAAATATTGAGATTTTGTCCTACCGATAAGAATTTTTACTTACGTCCTTCATATGCACAAATTAAAGTTAATAATAAAATGTAAGTGATAGAATCACGGCAGTTACTAAGAAGTATAGCATATTTTCAACAAAATGTTATCTAACTCTAACAAAGCTTAAACTGTGATTTTAATGTAAAATATTTTTCCACTTAAATGTCTTCGAAAGGTCTTTACTCTTAGCATTGTGCACAAAATTTGGATATGAGCCTAAATTCAAATTATATATATATTTATTATTATTTAAACAATTTATTAGACTTAGAAAAAGCAAACATCTTCATTTACTTAAGAAAGATACAATATATTCTGATAGAATAAAAAGTTAAGGTTATGGTAGTATTCATAAATAATAATAAATATTACCTTACACAATATTATTCCAAGGCATCACTTCTGGCACATCTCGAAAACAAGAATTTTGAAGCTCACAAGAGGCTATTCTATTTATTAATGGGAGAGATTTTAATCAGTTAGTATTCTTAAAGCTTGCCCCAATTAATATCATGATTATAATAAATTCTTTCAACCATTTTTAAGACAATACATGTATAAATTTTCATTGATATATGGATTTGAATTTCTTCACTGGTAAGAAGGCTTTCACAAATGTGTACAAATTTTTGTTTATATTAGTATAGATTGGCAAAATTTGTTCTTTTAAGCAGGTTTCATTGAAGACCAGAGAATTCGTTTTATTGATAATTTTCTTATTAGTTTTTTTCAATAGGTCGAACAATATTTTTTGTTTGCAAGAATTATTATTGAAAAATTAATTATTTATATTTTAATAAAATTATTGTTTTGTGAAAATTGCATAAAGAAGAATCTTCGAGACTAGCCAGGTCTGCACACCATCTTAATTAAGACATATTCATCATCTATATTAACTTAAGATTAGTTACCTTAGCTGAGCTGGACGTTCAAAACTCTGTAAAATAAGAATAAGTGTTTAGCCAAAGGTCATTTAAAAATAAAAATTATTCATATATAAGGTTTCATTATTATTCTGAGGGCGTTTATGCAATAGAACGTGGCACCTTAAAATTAGTTTGCATCTTAATATCTTGTATTCATAAAAAAATGCAAATTAAAAAGAACCAAATCAATCAAATTTACGTTTAACAATGTCATGGTTCCAATAAATGAAAACTTAGTGTCTTAAAATTATATGCTTTTTTTATATGCTGAATTTAAAAATCAGTACTAGGTATAAAATATTTTAAAAAATTTGGTTGATTTGCAGGAGTCCTGAGCCAATAATAAATATAATCTTTAGAAGTAGTGAATTGTTGCAAGTTTGCAACCCAATTTTCAGTCAAAAATTAACAATTGATAATTGACCAAACCTTAACCAAGGGTCTTGAATGGGACTTTTGAAACACAAATATTGAGAAACGAATCGGAAATTCTTACATTCAGTAAATTACGGATGAATTTTGAATAAGGAACTGTAATAATACAGAACTAGTCACGTTAACAGTTATACTACTGACTGTTGCAAATACCAGTTGAAACTCATTTCTAGCTTATTGCATATTGAAATGATTACTGCTTCCACATAATTTAATATATATAATCATGAAAATTAGAGTATTAAATATTCTTAAGAACAATTATCACAAAATCGTGAAATACAAGCAAATATTAACAAAGATGAAAATATAAAATAAATGTTCTTGGCGAAAAGATGAAAAATATTTTAAACGAGTGCAGTTGTAAGAATATAATGAGCAATTCCAACAACCTCACCAATATATATAAAAATTTATTATTTACCGAGACTATTTTACGATCTATGAATTTCTAAATTATCATTGCCCTTTCAGACTTAACATTATTGACCCTCATATTTATAAGCCAATTAAGGTATATAGTTAATTTAATGTTTATTGGCATTTATTTAATTAAATTATTGAATGAAATATAGCTAATGGTTTTTATTTTAGCACAACCGGTAACCAAAAAATCAAGAATGTTAACTACTGTATTCGCCTGCAGCTCATAAACTATTTAGCCAATAATATTTAGTAAATAAGGTAAACTATTTAGCCTGAAATTTACCTTAAAACCATTTTTCAACAATCCCATTTTTAAGAATGATTAAACTAACCCGAGTAAAAACGTACCAGCTGTGGTCACAACTTAATCAGGAAAAAAATATAATATTGTTTTTTGTCATCACGGTTCGATTTACTGGTTACCAGTAAATGACATTACCAGTCAAGGTGGCAGAACTAACTCACTGGCCCCAATTTTTTGCAGTAAATTTTTAAAGGGGGTTAATATTTTTCACTAACCTGCTGAAGCGAAGCATCTCTCTTGACGGTGTTGACGAGAGCCGTGAGGTAGAGGGTGAGTTCGGCCACAGAAGGCAGCTGGGCGCTGATGTCTCCCATTTTCATAGGGGCTTTAGGTTGCTTAACAAATGATTCAAGCAATGAAAGATTTTGCAGGCGCCCAATGGCAAAATTTTGCATGTAGCACCAGCGGTTGTACTGCAACGTTGCGCACTGCACGATGGCGTTGCAGGATGGTCCTGAGTGTTCAGTCTCACATGCCTGTGAAAAGATGTGTTAGCACAATGACAGGCTACAAAGTGTAGTGAAATATGTGAAAGACATCCACATAGATACTTGAATTGATGAAAGAATATACATTGTGCATAACAAAGAGCTGCAAAAAAATGTTCATCCATTAAAAAAAAATTTGAGTTTATTTTTTTGATATATTAAAGAAATTTTAAACAAAACTTTCAACGGAGAACTAAAAACCGAGCAAAATCAACAGAAGATATTTGTAAAAAATTAAGAATAGTATGTCACGAAATTGAAAAAACAGTGCATTATAATTTTGTAAAATATTAGTAAAAAGTAAAAGTAAAGCTAAGTCCTTGTCACCTTCATGGGCTGACTTGGATGCTTGCAGTGCAGTTTTGCACTCGCATCAGAAGGTCGCGGCAACGCCACAAATGCCACATCAGAATCCTTAGTGCCACACAGCACTGAACGCCACAAAGTGAGAGCCGAATCAATCACATGGTTAGCTAGAGCAGCACCCATGTCTTCAGCAGGGGATGCGTCTTCTTCTAAATTGAATGCTTCCAACTCTGGTTTACATTCTGAGGCATCCATGGGCTCAATATTTTGAACTTCATCGTCATAATCAGCTTCCTCATCCCCATCACGAGTCTGTGACGAGCAACGTTCAAATCTGTTTCTGTGTCGAGCCACAGGTTCGGACTCATGTTTAATTATGCTGCTTTCAACGACTGTTCCGAAACAAGCCATGACCACAAAAAGAACGCTGTCAGTTGCGTAACGAGGATGCTGTTCAATGGCCGTCAGAACCCCAGCTAAGTCCATATTTTCTTGCACGAGGATTTCGCACTGGACGGATACAAGCCGCGTCATGTCCAAGCCAGGGAAGAGCCGCTGGTCCAAGATGATCACCACACGCCAGGGTCGGCGACCACGACCAAGAAGTGCCTGTTAAAGCTAATTTGTTACTGGCGTTGTGTAACAACAATGTGAAATTCCGAGCGTTGCTTATCATGAACTTTTGATATTTGAATGAAGTCTTATTAGGCCAATGGTTATATCAATTCCGAAAATAATTTCGTGATGAATATAATAACTATAGATACCCTCATCAACATTATAATTGGTTTACTTAGGAAAGTGTTTATGATGAAACCAACCTTTTCAAGCAACCTATAATATATTATATATATATTTTTATGAAATTAATAAGCTACTCACAAGTTTCTGAGCAGCAATGCCATGGGGCGTGGTGAAAGAGTCCCTCAGGTTGTAGTATGGGTTTAGAACGTGTATGGGTATGTTCTGAAGAACCTGTAATGATGAACAAAAATTAATTTAAAATTAAGGGATTGTGCTACACACAACATAATAGCATAAATATTTACAAATACGCTAGGTAGCATCTAATTGAGAATTATTTATAAGACCAAGCTGTCCATGAACAGTGCTGGTAGTACCATAATTATTTATTTTTTTCAACCTAAACAATTCAGTTGGACACTGTGAATGAATGAAAAAAAGTGATCATGGAAGTTGTTTTAAAACATTAGTTTAAATAGATGCCAGAAATGTAATCTGAAAATTGATATTGACATTAAAGTGCAACCTGAGGGAATTTGATGAGAGGGTTGGTAAGGCAACCGCATTTGGTGTGAGATGAAGCTGGCTTCGTAACAAAGATGTAGTTCTTTTCCAGAAGCTGCAATAGAGGCTTTGCTGAGCGCAGAACAAATCTGAAAAAATTCACACACATTTTATGCATGAGCAGTTAATTCTCCATCCTTTTTCAATACTTAATAAGAAATTATTCAAGCTATGAAGAGTACAAAGTTAATATGAACAGGTACCTACATTATAGAAGAAAATGAAATAGGAATTATTGTAATTAGAGTGGCTTCAGTAAATAAAGTTATTTTTGTGTTATACAGTATAATTAATTACAATACAAATATGGCCAAACTAATAACCTGCACGAAAAAGCCTGTAGAATTTTGCAATGATCAGTTGTGAAGAGCAAAAGTTGGCTACCAGCATACAGCCAGCCATCCTTGGAAAACAAGATTCCCAGATTCACAGTAAGCTCTTTCAACATGTCAACATCTTCCTTGGTGAAGCCGAGATCACTTGCAGCAAAGTAGTCCACTATTTTCCCATCGAAATTTCTTAGAAGAAGATCAGACAGTCTGGGGCAATAGCTGGCAAGCTGTAATATTTCCGAGTGGATGGCTTGCAATTCTGGAGCCTGTTTGGGAGAATAAAAAATTTTAGGCCAGTAGAATGGGTGCAAATGAAGAAAAAATTTTGTCTTGACAAAACTTCGTAACATCAATATACTACTAAAGCTAAGAAAACAGAAATAGAACAATTTGTGACTATCTTAGCTACAGATTGAATTTTGATTCACGTAGTAGGTATATCTTTGATTAAAAATATTAGAATCACTTCTAATTTTCGATTATGAACCGTATCTAAGATAGGTACCCTTTGTGGGTACTGTACTTATGTCATTTCCAAATATCTATGTTAAGCATTGTAAATAACTTTTCACCTACTTGATAATGAATAATACATAATCAAAATTTATAAGTTCTGTTAAAATGTCTCTCAAAAACCTTATATTTACATTTTTCCATCCCACAAAAATCCTGATTTGTCAAATAGAGAAAAGCAATACGGAAATCATCAACAAGATATACTCTCTGGTCTTCAATGAAACTTGTTACAAAGAACAGTTCTGCCTGACTACACTAATATACTATATATATACACTTTAGCACAGAAGGAATTAGTCATTAACAAATTTCACATTGACATGGCAAAATAAGATATGCACAATTTTAAATAAGCAGATACAAATTACAAGCAATAAAATTAGTGATAGTATTACCAATTTCCAGCCAAGCAGAGCTACTTCTCTCTTGAGTTCACTCAAGCTGCTACAGAATCCCATGCCACAGTTCTTGAGAAAAGCCTGGAAAGAAATATCACATAACTTTATGCAATCATCAGTGAACCAAAATGTCAAACAAGTAGGTACTCAAAACTCCAAGTAAAATTATACAATCACCATGCATGAATATTACAGAGAATTGGTAGAGACTAGAAATTTGTAGTGACTAGAAAAATTAAATTATGACAAAGTCAAATAAATTATTCAAGCAATAGAAGCTGAATTTTGTGCCACAAAAATAACATGAGAGGTACAAAAACTTCCAAAAATGCATCATGTTGCTGAGGGTTTTATTCATTTATTTAAAAAATGTACGTAAATACTTTGACTCGGAAAATTTACATTGGATGGGAATGTGAAGTCTTTTGCATCCACATCAGTGCTGGAAATGTTTTTGGGCTTCTTCAAAATAGACTTTGGCTTTACTGAAGAACTTAGAGCAGCATATTCAAAACTTTCTTCTTCCAATTTTGGCAAACCCTCTTCAGTGTCTTGTTCAAATTTTTCATCTTTGATAAAGTTTACAACATTGTCAGTTTTAGACTCAGTTTCCCAGCTGATGTCCAAGAAACTGAGGTCAGCCATTTCAAACAAAACATTGGACTGATTAGATGCCAGCGTCTGTGATGCAGAGGAACCTGTAGTAGCTTCATCTTCATCTTCTTCCAGCAACTCTTCTCGCTCATAGTCAGGGACATCCATTGAAAACTGACTCCTACTGGTATCTGTATCCATTGTCACACAAGCAAGTTCAAGGATATTTTGTTCATCCTCTCAATCTGAAAATGTATGAAATGACATGAAAAACTATATTGCAATACTTAAATAATTCACCTGAGAGAAGGGTGTAATTAAAAAAATGGTAATTGTACATTCAAATTCAATCCATCCTTGTCACTTATATATTCATATACTTTCTCAAAACTTCCATACTTTCTCGAAATATGTCATCCAAAATTAACATAATGCAAAGGTACAATATCAAATTTACTGATGAAATATACCATGTGTACTTCCACCTGCAAAAACTATGAAAAAGAAAATGCCCAGACTGTTGATTATAGCATTCGTATTAAGAAAATTGTCTTCATTAAAGCTATCCATCAAGCCATATTGACCTTAAATTGGAATACATTGGTAATTTTATACTCAATCAAAACAAGTCGATTGATTAGTTTATACAGTGTAGTTGCCAGCCTCCAGTAGAACCAATGCTTTTTCAAAGAATGAGTTTTGAAGTTTACTTGCTTCACCGATAATCAGAACATCATCTCTGGCATCTCTTCATTCTCTTGTACTGGACGAGTCTTGGTGTCCTCTTGAAGAAAGGGATCTCTAATGGTTTAGAATTTTTTTAGCAACATTTTAGAGCCCAGAGATGCATCATATATGAATGTGGCCTGTTCCATTAGGATGCTCTTATTCATAAAAAGCAAAAACACATTGGTAAATTGGATGGTTTTGAAAAATGAGTAAATAATAAAAGTGTTTGAAAGCACCATATAAGTAACCCAATATAGGGATCTTCAAAAAAAAACATAGGTACCATATACTTTTTAGATTAATAAAATTAAAACAGTACCGTAAAATGGGATAACTTAGACCACTTTTTTTTATAAATGATGCCAATTTTTTACTAGCTAAATTAAACTTGAATTGAAACATGCAAAATACAGGTCTATACTCTAGCTGCTAGAGTATAGACCTGTATTTTGCATGTTTCAATTCAAGTTTAATTTAGCTAGTAAAAAAATGGCATCATTTAAAATAAAAAAGTGGTCTAAGTTACCCCATTTTACGGTAAACTTTACGCGCTATATTGTGAGCCTTCTAAAGTTTTAATAAAGAAGAAATCACAAGGTTCACAGAATTTGAAGATTTAAATTCTAAATTTTTTATTACTCTAATCTAGTCAATCAACTGAGTCGTTCAAGTGTCATGTCGTTGTAGTGCATTGCCTTTTCTTTGATAAGTTTCTCCGATTGCCTATGAGTTTCTCCTCAATTTGAAAGCTGACAAAACAAATAGGTGCAATAAATGTTTCTTATATTCTATTTGAAACCATTATGTTAAGAGTAAATAGTATTTCCTTCTGTTATTCTGTAGATCCCTCCTGCACATCTGTGAGTGACATGCAATTAACAATGTTAGGCGTGGGACGTTCTCTGTGTTGCCTGACGTTTTATTCATGCCATAGCCAATTTCTGACAGCCTGCATTAGGCTGCAAACCTGTTTCTAGTTGCCTGGAACATTTTTTTCTTAAGGCAGAACACTTTTTTCAAGTGAAACACTAATCTTAGAATTCCATCCTGGCTTTGGCCCAATTTTCTGCTCAGGCAAATCATAGTAGAGATTTAGTGTGAAATCATTAATTAGATTCTAAAATAAAATGCAAACAGTATTTTCACTAATCACAACTCTGAAATATCTTTAAATTCTTTAGACCCATTGAGCCTGAGGCATAGTGTCAAAGAAAAGACTTTTTACAATTACATCACTTCTCTTCAACTTCACTTCTTTTTGCTTGTTTGTTTGTCTGCTACAAATCTTATAATTGATATTTTATTATTTAACACACTTGACAGGTTAACACTTCTACAAAGTTCTATCTGTCCCACTGTGCAGAGAGTGAATGAATATTGCAAGTTCTTTGGCGATGCTTCAGTAACAAAATCTACGCCTTCTGAAGATCTTGCCAACACATTTAGATTGAAATTCTTGCATTTAATATATTTGTCAGTCTTCGGCCAACTATTTAGAAAAAAGTAAGGTTTCCGGTATGTTGGATAGATCAGGATGCAGTGAAGCTTGTCCGTAAATCAGTTGCGATGAGTTCCCGCCAAAATATCCTAGGCACATGTAAACAACAAGTCTACGATTGCGTAGTTGCGGTCACATTAGAGCGATCAGACTGCATTATTGCATGTTCAGTTGACACTTGCTGTACAATCGGACTGTTTTTAGGGTAAAATTAGTTATTTGGGATAACACGTGCATGCAACCTTGTAAATAAGTTTGTGGCTTGTGAATAGTTTTTCATTACTCAGCATGGTGGCATTCCATAGTATAAATAAAAGAACATGAGCTTTTGGGAAATTGGAGCGCTCTGTCATAATTGGAGCATCAAGGTCACTACACCTTCCCCCACGAATTCTACTCCACAACTGCGGGCGGGCTGCGTGCTGCAGTCGGAATTTGGCTCTAGCACGAGTGTGGATTTTAGGGGAATACAGTATCGATTATGATCATTTCACAGATTTTCAAAAATTGCTGCTGTAAATGTGCAATTTTTCCCATTTTTTACAGGAAAAATACTAGAAAAGGTCTAGGAGCAGGTGACACACCTGTAGTGGCAAACAAGGGTTTTGTTAGACTCAGTTTTGTTCAAATTGGCTGATCTAGTTCAAAATTTTGTTCACTATCATATGGGATAAAACCCTCAGAACCAGAAAAACATTCAGATAAACAGAGTGTCATCAAAAAGCTGTCTCATATGACACTTTGACCGGTGATTTACACGACACTTTCACAGGGTTCCACAATAAATTTTGAACGGGAACAGATCGGAGCAGGCAACTATAGATGTTATCTGGTCGCTGTCGCGAGGAAGAATGAAAGTAGTAGATTGCGTAGTTGCGGTCACATTAGAGCGATCAGACTGCATTATCGCATGTTCAGTTGACACTTGCTGTACAATCGGACTGTTTTTAGGGTAAAATTAGTTATTTGGGATAACACGTGCATGCAACTTTGTAAATAAGTTTATGACTTGTAAATAGTTTTTCATTACTCAGCATAAATGGCTTTTCATTAAAAATTACCAGGCGACGCATCTTGAAAATGGTTGGAGACGCTTTGTGCTTAAAAACCCATATATTGGCGATGCTGCTTCCACCCTGTGACCCTCTGCACCCTGACCCTGTTATCTGTCCAATTACCAAATTTGAAATTTTGCACACTTGCGTAAAGTTAGAGACAATGCTTGAATCAATTGACAGAATGAATGATTAAATTAATTAAAAATTTTTCTCAATTAAACATAATCAAACAAATAATTGTTTTTATTATTTAAAAATAAATTAAGAAATTTTCTGTATAACAGTGTAGGATTATATAATACATGTGCAACATAGGATGATCAGAGACAGTGACCTCTTTACTTTAGAATTAGAAGTGTTGTCTTAAAAAAGTAATTTTTAAACACATTATTGATTATTTAGACTCCTCAAGTTTATTTTTGAGTCCCATCCATAAGTAGGCCACACATGCCACCACTAGGTGGCCTAGATACCTACTACTTAGTACTCAATAAAATTGTCACTATGCTGAGTTTGTGGCAAGCCGGCAGTGGCACCACTATTTATTCATAATTCAGTTAAATTAATTCTCAGTTCA